TGGCGGCAAATAGGGTTGGGAAGGGATTTTCTTGTGGTGGAGGAGAAGGAAGATGGAGGTGAATACGAAGGAGAAGATAGAAAACTTAACCACGAGCTGCGGACTCTTCCAACGACTGGTGGGCCTTGCGATTTGCTCCCCTTGAGCTCTCTCCCTTCTCAAGCTCTCATGCAAGAAGAAGAAGTAGAAACACACAAATTTTTTTTCATTCAGATATTCATCATCTCATACAATGCATGAGGCCTCCTATAAATAGGCCAAACTTACATAAAACTAAAAGACATAAATGCCCTCGGGGCTACAATATCAAATGAACTCCCATAAGGGTAAAAATGGAAATACTGAAAAATAAACTATTACATAAAATGACTTAAAATAAAATTCCTGATCGTGGCCGTCGATCTCCGGTGTCTCCGATGTCGACATTTCTGACGATGTCCTCATCAAATTCCCAAAGAGTCGAGCATTAAACACATTTCCCCAATCCCCTCCACTCCTCTTGAAGCCGCCGGCCCCATGCCTCCTTCCCCATTTAATTTCTTTCCAAAACCTCTACTCCAATCAAAGGAATAAATTCCCTAATTCCCTCCCTTCCCCTCTTCCCTCTCTCTAGCCGCCACCCACATCAACCCTAGTCTCCAACACATGCTCCACTGTTGTCCAAAAATAACAAAATCAGCAAGAGAACTGTCCAAGAAGATATCCTTCTTGTCCAGTAAAGATCAGGGAGTTGTCCTGAATTTTTGCACTTCTTCCCGGCTGTTCATTGGTTTGAGAAGGCTCTTGATTGCTGACTACGGATTCCTGATTCAAAATAGTTGTTGTCCGCTATTCCCTCCATCGATAACTTGCTTCTAAACCCGGACGAAGGTGAGACTCTTCCTCCAAATCTTTTATCCTTCTCGTTGCTTTCGATTGTAGCTCTAATTGAATCATGAAAGTTGTGCTAGTCATTTCCGCTAAAGCTTAGTGTTTAGTAGGATTGTGTGAGGAATTTTTCATAGCACTGCTCTTATTGTTAGATTAGGAATTTCTTGTTGAAACTTATCACATAAGCAACGTCAAGAGTAATTGGTTGTTTTGTGGTTCTTACTTTCCGCAAGTAACTTGGCCTAAGCTTGTGTTTATAGCTCTTAGTGTTTTAGTTCATTATTTAAATCACCATAAAAATTTAATTAACTTGCTCTTAATCATTAAGCGTGCAAAAATCCTTATCTAAATCATAATTTCATATAGATCCTGCATCATGGTGTGGCTACCATCAAGCCATATCACTTGGTGACATGGACCATGATAACAATACAATAGTTAATTTATTTCAGTTCTGTAATCCAGCTAACTTCCTCAATCCACCATGTAATGAAAATGTGACAACCTTTATAAAGCCTTGCTTAACACACTAAATTAAGGCCTCTATTGATAGCTTGACACCTTTGTTGGAACATCGTCGCCATCAACCACCCACGTCACCTATAATATACACCATACATATCCTCTTCTTCACAATGTTCTTCAGAATTCTCTCAATTTACCCCTACCTCTAAGTTTTCAATCCATCAAAAGCGAGCTTCTTCAATACAAAGGATGACATTGCAACACAAGGTCCTTTTTTTTTCCTTTGCAAATAAACATCTATGTTCTATAAAACTAACCTAGAGAAATATGGCATAGATATCTTTAAAAAATAGAATCCCCCCCTCCCAATCCCCATCCCCCATCGACCAGAACTCATGCTATAAAACTCAATAGCTCAAATAAACAATGGTCGTGCTCCATCATAATCCCCACCCCCCACGTCGCCCCTTCCTACTCCTTAAAAAAAGGAACCTCATTGAAACTAATTCGAGATGCCCCAAAAAATTGACAATAAAATAATAAAAGATAAGCGTTCTGCCACCAACTTCATCCCAGCCTGTCATATCAAAATTCACATTCTTTTTGGGCTCCAACAAGAAAAGCAAATGGTCGTTTCTTTGTTGATAGAGGGGTCAATACAATGCTAGAAAATTGATGAAAACAACAACATCAAGCCATTGTCCAACTACGTGGGCTCGGCTACATGAATCTTTTTTCTCCATTGTGTCCTGTTAAAAGTCAAATTCTCGTTTAAATCTAATAAAGAAATATCATTTCTAATATTTTCTAACCAAGTTTTTTTGTGTCTACCTCTACCTTTCTTAGCATAAGTCTCTAATACCTCTATATTCTTAACCGGGTCATCGGAAGGCTGTCGTTTTATGTGACCAAAACATCTAAGTCGACACTCTCTAATCTTATCTTCCACAGGAGCTACTCAGCCCTATTCACGTAAATGCTCATTTCATATCCTATATCTAAAAGTAAAGTCACTCATCCACCTGAGCATTCTCATCTCTGCAACACTTAACTTAGTATTATTCTTCTCTTTTAAATGCCAACATTCAGCACCATAAAGAATTGCAGGTCTCACAACCATCTTATAAAATTTTCCCTTAAGTTTGAGAGGGACTTTTCCATCACACAGCAAGCCCGATGCATTCCTCCACTTCAACCATCCACCTTGAAATCTACTGATAATATCACCATCTATTTCACCATCACTCTGCACAATAGATCCAAAATATCTAAAACGTGTACTCTAAAGCTATAAAATTGAAAAATTTTAAAAAAAAATTCTATAGAGACCAAAATACCTTGATTGATTCAAGACCAAAGTGTCTTGATTAATTAAAGGGTTGATCAAAAGAGAATCAATATAAGGCCATAAGGCTCATGAAGAGTAATTACCCTAATTTAGGGGGACATAATTAATTTTGCACATAT